TGTTTAATCTTTGCTTCTCCAAAAAATTATAACTCTCTAAGTAAAGGAGAGGCACAGAAGGAAGGGGGGGGGGGTGAGTACCTGGCAAGTTAACTTGTGCAAAAAGAAACAAATTTTTCTTTCTCGACGGAAAACAAACAGATCATCAGTTGAGAAAGGAGTTGGAAATGAGAAGTTAACATTGTTGAGGCTATTTAAAACAAGGGAATATTTTGATGAGAAGAGACTGAATAAAGATACAAAATATTTAGGGTTCATGATTGAATTAGTCTTTTTCTAGCTCCATCACTAGATTATTTGATCTCCCCATGCCTCTTATGTTCCTGATTCCACATGACTTTCTTTTATTTACTTTTCAATCTCAGAAGCTTTTACCCATACTTTTTTGTTTTGGTTAAGAACCCGAGGTAATTCGGGTTTTTACTTTTTACCATCCAACTAATCCTGAGTACATGTTCCAGATTCAATTCTATTATGCTTATATACATTTGGAGATGAATGGTTTATATATATACAACTTAACCAATCGACATTAATAAATTAAATGTTGATCTAATTGCGACTACTAATTGATTTGAACTTTTTATTGTTGTGATTAATAGAGGTTTTGGTACACTTGATTATATAAAATAATGCACAGAAAAACTTGCTTGTTGTAACTTGAAAGGACACACAAGTGTGTGCGGGTGATGGTTTTGTTCTTTTAAAAGCTTCTGATATGTGTCAGTGACAATAGGTGGGAGTGAGTTGTCATTTGAAAACGCCAAAACCGGAGAATACTAAAAGGCAAATGCAGAAAGCCAGAAACCCAATAATTAACAAAGTAGAGCTCTCTTTCCACTTCTGTAACGGTTAACATGGTAAAACATTTAAACGAACTTTATGCTCTTTATCATTAAAACTTGATCGGTAGACAAAGCATTAAGCATAGCATTTAGTAAATGTTAATATTCTCCAAAATCTCTTACCCTCAATGCTCCTAAATAAAATTTTTCATGAGTTTTGACCTATGATATTATTAAAAGATATTAAAATATATATTCAATAGCTATTTTTTTATATATAAGATCAAAAATAAATTATATTAACTTTTATTTATTTTAATTAATATTTATCATTATTTTATTGCTTTTATTATTTTTAAAATAATATCAAAATAAAACAATAAAATTTAGTTAAATATAATTTAAATTTGAAAATATTATTAAAAAATTATGTTATAATTTTATAAATATATTTATATTGAAATTAAAACCTAATATTTAACATTAGTTTATTTTTCTATTAGCTAAATAGTATTATAATAAAATAATAATTTAATAAAAAAACTAATTTGAATAAAAAATGTTGTTATAACTTATGACTAGTATATATATAATGTATTAGAATACATATAAATAAATATAATAAAATAATTTATTTAATTTTATATCTAGTTATTCACAACTCTGGCAAATCATTTATGTATATTAATCAAAACATACTGCTCCTGCAGCATACTACTAATGGTAATGCTGCTTCATACTACTGCTCTGCTATAAGCCATACCAATCAAGGCCCGTCATTACACATTGTATGATATTTATACAAAAAGCCTTAAATCAAAAAGTTAATTATTTTATCCCGATTTTGTGATAAACTTGGTTCATAATTGATCGAAACCGGACGCATAGGTCGGAGAATAAATCACAAACATAAATCAATCACTTATTACCGTTTCAATGTTTTTCGATTTCTCAAAAGTTTTCTTTCTATAATTTTACTTTCACAAAAATCACAATGTCTAACATCTAACTTTTCTGCGGTATTGATTTCATATGCATATTTAATGGAGTTAGATGAAACAACCATAACTACCGGTTAATCAAATCAATTCACTAGGGTTGGGCAAATTATCCGTTAAATTCGATCCGATTCGGTATTCGTTTCGATCTGATCCGAAAAATTCGGATATCCGTTTTGAATCAAAGCAAAGCAAATAATAAAATTTAATATCCGTCAAAACCGAAATAAATCACACATACTAATTTTAAAAATCCGAATATCCGATCCGTATATTACTTATACATACATATAATATGGTAGATTTATAACGTATATTCACATTTTTTTATTTTAAAATATATTTAGCGAATATATTTATAATAAAAATAGATAGATACTAACTTTATTTGAAATATGTTTCTTAAATTAAAAATATATA